TTTCTCTGGTAAAAAAAAAAGAAGGAAAATTGAAAAGAGTTTGTTTTCCTGCCAACAGAAACATCCAAAATTATTTTTATGCTAACACACTAAGTAGGGATATTCTCATTAAGATTGCTATGGTATTTAGCATATTTTAGCAAAAATTGCTGGAGAAAATATGCACTTTCTCATATAAAGGAGAACTTCAAGTAAAAAAAATAAATTTAATGTTTCCCATAGCAGCAGTTGCTATCATAACAAAAATTAGATCAGGTGTTAGTTAATGAATTTCTAAAGATAAATGAAAAGTACTTTGAGACCTCATGCTATAGATTTATTTCTAATGCATTGTAAAACATTCACAATCTACCAACCCTTTTCAGACTGCTAAGTTTCTATGATATTTTCCAGTTGTTTCATTGCAAATCCCTGTCATTTTATACAATAATATACATCTCAGCTTAGACTGCAGCTAGTCATGCATGAGATGAGTGAGATCTTCTTGCTACTTTTCTCCAGCTACCAGAAAAAAAAAAAAAAAATCTATGTTCTTGCATTGCTGATAATGGGCCCTAAACTCTCTACAGATTTAAAGGAATAAAGCAGAGGTCAAGGGATGTTTCTATTTTTCCTGAACACATAATCAATCATGTTTAGCCAGCTTGGGTGTGTATAAACTAAAGACAAGTTAAAGGGCTAAGCTCTTTCAGTGAAGTGATATTCTGGGCAAGTAGGTAAGAATCAGATAGATTTAAAATTTTGAGCCCCAGAAAGTATTAGAAAGGATATTGGATTAGTAAATTAAATGTATGGGATTTGGGGATGCTTAGTTTTCTTGTGGAGTACATACTGCCTGATTCTTCTTCTTTGGTATGTACCACTCCATTATTCCCTACCTCAGGTGCTGTTTTATTCTTGAGCAGCAACCAAGGGATGCAATTCTTGTTGAGCAGGCTGACAGATGTTATTAATTTGGGGAGTTTTGTTATATTAAAATCTTTAAAGCTCCTGTTCCAACAGTTATCAGGTGATGATATTAGATTTTCAGCTTCCAAGGAAGCTGGAGGAGTAAGTCTTTCACCTTTCTTGATCTGATCTGACGGGCATGGCTCGACACAGCACAGCACAGCAATAGCAGTCAGGCACCTCTTCTCTCGAGAGCATCACAAAACCATTTCACCCTTCAGTATGGCTGGCTCTATAAAACCTGGCTACTTCTGAGTAACTAAGGAAAGCACAGCCACCAGCAGCTAGCATGGTTTAGGAGATATAAAACTGATGAGCAATATACAGTGACTAGCAACAAAGCATTTAGTCAGCCATTCTACCAGCCTTAGGCTAGAAAACAATTTTGCACACACACCTTCCAACTACCATTGCAGGGTTTCCTTCCTGCCCTGGCTAACTTTAAGGAAGCCGGAAAGTGTGCAGACACTACAGGACATGATCAGTTGGTCACATACTCTGCAGAAAGCATAACACAGAGCAATCATTTGCCACAGCAGCCTTAACGTATGGAGAATTAATTGCAGAAATAAACTGATTTTAATTACAGGAGCAAATGTATTTAGCAAGTAAGCTATATCTGAACAATGGAATAGAAAAGGAGGTTTTTTAAAAGGGTATTTGTTTCTGCAACTGAGAGCTTAATGGGCTTTATTATTACTTAGCATGTTCCCAAGGGCAGCTCTGCAGCACCTGAAGGGAAGGAACGGGCAAAGGGTTGCTAGCTAGTTTTCTGATCCCAAATGTTACCAACGTTATGAGGTCACCAGAAATAAAATGCATCTGGTCTAACTCAAGTGTGAACCTGTGAAATGTCCGTGTCCGAGTCAGTCACAGTAGGCTCGCTTTGTAAGCACTGGAGAAACACGGGCATCTTTAGTGGAAAACGCATCTCATTCTCCGGTAGAAAACTATTTTTCTGTGTGAAAGAGGCCAAGGCGACTCGCTGAGGCCTAAGACGGCGAAGCCAGAGGCGCAGGGCCGCCCCTCGCTCCGCTCCCCTCAGCGCACGGGCTGCGGGCGAGGCGCGCCCCCTGCTGGGCACCTTCCCCCGTGGATCCGTGCGCTTCCCGCACGGGGCACAGCTTCCACACAACTACGAACATTGTGCCCCCTGGTTGTAACTTAGCTTGCCAATCCTTCTTCCTGAAGGGGAGAGGCAGGCAACATATTCCCTCCACCACCCCCCACCTCAAAAAAAAATAAATACGGGTTTAAATTACTTCTCCATTTCCTCTGTCTGTGGCGGTGGTTTGCAAGAAGAGAGAAAGAGGAGTGGCGGCTTCAAACAGAAGACTGACCTCAAGGCTGTGAGAAGGGCCGAGCTAGCTGCCTTCAGGAAGAGCCTAATAACAGATGAAGCCAGGAATTTTCTTTTCCAGAGTTCCTTTATACTGAGGGTGTTAACTGTTTTTAAGCACCTGGTTTGGCAAAGCCCGGGCAGCAGACTTCAGGAGTCTGGCCTTACTCTTTTGGGTTTAAATCCTCCTTCATAAAATAATAATTAAAAAAAACCTAAAAAGCCCTTCTCTGGTTTTCAGGGACGCACTTAATATAAACAGATGGATCAGAGATCCTTGGCATCAAGTATTGTGGCAATGTCCTGCAAGTATTTTAAGATTTCATCCAACATCCTTGTATCCCAGTGATCTGTTCTTGGCCTTTGAGAATGTCTCTTTACTGAGAGAAAGAAGAGTATGAAAAGGAAAATGTCAACACCCCCCCCCCCCAAAAAAAAAAAAAACCCAAACCACAACCCTTTAGCCTCTTACATGAAATATAGAAAAATAATTCCAGTCCTGGTGTAACCATTAGTGGCAGATGTTAAGCTTCTTATAATAAAAGCTTAAGAGGATGAGAATTATGTAATGCCCAATTCCAAAAGTATTTTGTTCTCTGATATCTCTTGTCATGTTTCTGATAAAGGCTGAGCCATTAGACAAATTCTTCAGAGACTACTTTGGTGTAGGTACCTTCAGAGGTGCCAGGGAACACCTTTTCTTTTTTCCTGGGTAATTTGCCTTAAAAAATTTAATTTTGCTTTCCCTGTGGCTGACATGGCTATAGTGTGCAAGAAGACAATTGGCATGCTAGGAGAATAAGCAATAGCATTCTCCTTTCCAGAAACTGTATTCCCTGCAGGAATTAAACCATGGGCTGGATACCAAGCCCTAGTTTGGACCTCTTTCCAACTTGTCTCTTTTCCTGCAATAAAAGTAAGTTGGACTAGTACTGACAGGGGTGATCTAAACTTGGAGGCTGGGAGGAGACACAGCCAGGACAGGTGACCCAAACTGACCAAAGGTATTTTCTGTACCATATGACATCATGCTCTGTACATAAAGCGGGGGGAAGGAGAAAGGGAGGATGTTTGGAGTGATGGCATTTGATTTTGCAAGTCACCATATAGGGCTCTGCTTTCCTGGAGATGGCTGAACAGCTGCCTGCTCATGGGAAGCATGGGGATGACTTAACTCCTTATTTTGCTTTGCTTGTGTACAAAGCTTTTGCTTTCCCTATTAAACTGTCTTTATCTTAACCCAAGTTTTTCCAAGCATTTATCCTTCCAAGTCCTTCCCCTATCCCACTGACTGGGAAATGAGCAAGCAGCTGTGTGGGACGTGGTGTGGAAGGTGCCTGTGGTGTGGAAGGGCAGCAGTTAGGCCTCCTTCCTGCCCCCCTCACACTGGCAGCCCACAGGAAACCAAGGGAGCGTTACATGGCTCCTATACTATCAAGGCTCATATGAATTTACAGGTTGGAAGAGATCTTAAAGAGCATCTAATCCCAACCTTTTCTGCAATAGGCAAGGACACCTTCCAGTAGACCAGGCTGCTCAAGGCCTTACCCAACCTGACCTCGAACACTGCCACAGCTGGGGTACCCACAGCCTCTCTGGGGAACCTATTCCAGTATCTCACCACCCTCACAGTGAATAATTTCTTCCTAATATCTACCTTAAATTTCCCCTCTTTCAGTTTGTGCCCATTACCCATTGTCCTGTCACTACAGTTCCTCAAAAAGGGTCCCTCTCTGGCTTCCCTGTAGATCCCGTTTGGATACTGGAAGGTTGCTGTGAGGTGTCCATGCACCCTTCTCTTCTCTAGACTAAACATTCCCAACTGTCACCCTGTCTTCATAAGGAAGGTGCTCCAGACCTCCTATCAACTTTATGACCCTCCTCTGGACTTGTTCCAACAGTTCCATGTCTTCCTTCTGCTGGGAGAACCTGTGACACATGTAGGATCTCACAAGAGGAAAGGGGGACAAGCAATTCTCTTGACCTGCTGTCCACACTGCTTTTGATGCAGCCCAGGATATGTATGGTTGGCATTCTGGGCTGCAAGTGCATACTGCTGGGTCATGTTGAGTTTTCATCAACCATTACCCCCAGGTGTTTCTCCACAGGGATGCTCTCGATCACCTCTCCACTCAGCCTGTAGGTGTGTCTGGGATTGCCCCAACCCAGGTATAGGACCTTGCACTTGGCCTTGTTGAACTTCATGAGATTCGCATGGGATCATCTCTCAAGCCTATCCAGATCCCTCTGGATGGTATCCGTTCCCTCCATCCTGTCAATGGTACCACACAGCTTGGTGTCATCAGCAATTTTGATGAGAGTGAACTCAATCCCACTGTCCATGTCGCCAGTGCTGGCCCCAGTACTAGTCCCTGGAGGAATACCACTAGTCACTGGTCTCCACCAACCCCTTGACCCCAGCTCTTGGCCTGCTGCCACCGAGAAAAGAAACGCTACACGACGCAGCAGGACCCTGATGCCCGACCCTTGGCAGCCGGGAATGAACCTTCCCGCCTCCCGGGCGTCCCTGCGGGCGGTGCCATGTGCAGCGGAGGGGGCGCCACAGTCCCCCCGCGCGGCTCTCGCCGATCGCTCCTTGGTACGGCCCTCCCGCACCCCTTGCCGCTCCTTGCCCCCGGCGCATGCGCGCCCCCACACTCGCAGTCCTACTACAACCCCGAGCTGTGCACCCGCGCGCCGGGCTTTACGTCAGCGGCGCGCGCCGGACGTGGCGGCGCCCCGCGGTGAGACTCGGCCGCCATGACCTCCGCGCTGGAGAACTACATCAACCGTATCCTCGGCCGGGACTCGCGGCACGGGGGCGGCGGCACCGGCCTCCCCTCACGAGCGGGGCCCTCACGGTGGGCCTGGTCGGGGCAGCGCGGTTCTGGTACTTGGGCCCGTCCCCGTTGGCGGTGTAGGTTTCTTGTCACAGGAGATTGGGCTGGCAGGCCGGAGGTTACCTGGAGAACGGGGTCCCCTACAGCATCCAGTGCTGCCGAGCTGAGCTTTGCCCGTGATGAGCGAGATTCGCGGCGGGCCTGCTCCCTTAAAGGGCTGCTAACGTACGTTTAGATAGCAGCTTCGCATCACTTGGGAAGTTAGTTTGGGTTCTTGCAACCCTTTTGGTGCTAGTTTTATTTTGTGCTTCTTGTAACCCATGGCCATTTTAAGTTTTATTCACAAACAGTAAGACAATAACCCAGAATTAGTCAAGATGACGAATATACGATCAGTATATGAATTGGCATAATCAGATCTTCAGAAAAAAGGGATGCAGAATACTAGGCTCGATATCACCACTGCAGACCTGTGTTTTAAGGACTTGGAGTGTTTATGGAACTGTTGTTTCAGTTTTTGAGGCAGTGCAGTTAGTAATGGGAAGAGAGGTGAGCTCAAATCTTTATTCTGTTTTTAAGGCTTTTCATGTTTGTCTACAACTGCCCATGGTTGGGGAAGAGGAACTTTCAAGGAGATGTTAATGAAAAACACTATATTGTCAACGGTGCTGCTTTAAAAAAAGTGCTGATAGGCTTTTTAGACTCTGAATGGCTCATAAAACCTGTATTACATATGAACATTTTAGAAAATGTTAATGGTTTTATTTCAGATATGAAAATAAAATTTCCTTAATGAAATATCAGGTACTGTTGCAGTAATTACTTCTGATGGAAGAATGATTGTGGTAAGACTTATATTTTTTAACATTTTATTTTCTCCCATGAAGACTTTCCATCATACCTTAAGTGCCACAAAATCCTGTTGTTTTTGATTTATTTCTTTAAATAATCTAGTAAACACAAGGTAATCTCCTTCAAAGAGATAGCACTTAAAATTTCTTGTTAGGAATGGTTTTAGTATTGTTGACCACAAGAATCCAACTTTGCTGTTCTTTGTTTTATTTAATAATGTATTTAATTTCTGGAAACATCCATACAAAAAAACAGTGTAGAAATGGTAAAACTAGTTGTCTAGAGGAACATCATTGATAAAATGAAAAATTTACTTTTTTAATGCTTAAATTTATTGTGTGTTTTAGCATGAACACACAGTAATATGTGTACTTTTCTTGAATTGGTTATTGCTTTTAAAATTTCATTCTTTAGCTGTTTTGTTTAAGCCAAAGAATAAAATCTGAATAGAACATCTCTAGTAGCTTTATTTTGCCACTCTGTTTAAGAGGAAAAGACAGCAAAAAGGAAAAACGTTAAGGGCTTTTTCTTTGTGTTTTTTTCAGGGAACACTCAAAGGTTTTGATCAGACCATAAACTTGATTTTGGACGAAAGCCATGAACGAGTGTTCAGTTCTTCACAAGGAGTTGAGCAAGTAGTGCTGGGCTTATACATCGTAAGAGGTGATAATGTGTAAGTATAGCATGGTCTTGTTTAAATCTTTTCATACAACCTTTGTGTGTGTATGCACATGTGTTTGTGTGTATGTATATTTACATATCCATAATCTGTATAAATCTTGATAGCCTCAGACACCTTTCATCTTTGTGGGTAGCACTGAAAGTATTGTCAAAGCTGACTCACCATCCCTGAAGGTACTAAAAAGATGTGTAGAAGTGATACTTAGGGACATGGTTTAGTGGTGGACTTGGCAGTGTTAGGTTAATGGTTGGACTTGATCTTGCAGGTCTTTCCAAACAAATTACTGTGATTCTGTATTAAATAGCAAACATCTACACTTTTACAGAAGTGATTACATTGAAATGTTCAGATTGAAGATGATCTGACGGCTGGAGCTACAAGGGCAGGCTGAGAGATGATGAAGGAAGAGATAAGCACTAAAAAATGGGATAGAACTTGTGTGCAAGAAGTCAGCAATCTTGTATACAAAATTGATTTTCAACAATTTTTTGGAGTTTTTTTAGAGCAAATGTTCACAGAGAGCACTTTATAATCTGGAAAATCCTTGAAGGTTCTGACTTGACAGTGTAGCAAGTGTTGAAGCCAATGTGACATGTCAAATGTGTGAGTTGGTATTTGATGTAAAATTCCCTTACAAAATGAGGGTAAAAGCTTATTGAGTGCAGAGAAAACTAACAGGTGTGCCAAACCCATGGGAGGGTTACAAGAGAAGTGGAAAGAAGGCCTGGTAAGTGGGCCAGCTAGGAAGATTACTATTGCAGCAGCATTCTGAAACTGATGGCAGAAGTAAGATAATTTTTTTATCACAGCTGGAAAAAGAGTATGTTGTAGTGACCAACACATGAGCCTGGATAAGAATTTTCATCTTCTAATTCTAATGGATACTTCCGTACAACAAAATGACAATGCTTAAATTGATATCTAGGTTAATCTAATTGATATTAGGTTAATCTAACCTAATTGAGAAAGTGGATCATTCTGAATACTTTCATCATTTTCAACTTAAACTTTTAAGAGAAAGTAATTTGACACATGTACAAAGGTGGGACTATGCATGTCACTCTATAAGTAGCTTTTCATTCAGATAATAAAAATGTGTATAAAAGAGCAAATAATTGTTTACTACTTCACTGTTTCATCATACAGTTGAAATGTATGATGAAAGACATCATCATACAGCCACATTACTCAAATATATTCAAAATATACTTCTATGAAATAAAATTTTTTGCTATCTTAATAAACTCAAACATATTTATTGCAAGTAATAATTCTGTATTCATGCAACTCTTCAAGATGCTGAAATTCAGCATCCTTATAGAAAGAAGTAAAAAGAATCAATAGCTAAGTAACAGTAACTTCAAAATAGGGGACTCTTAAGAAATATGGAAGCTGTTGAAAAATAAAAGGAAAGAAACAGTCATGGTACAAAGTACTTGGAGCATTCCAGTGTGCATCACTAGAAGCTTTCATGGAATAAGCAGCATCCATCAGAAGAAGTTGGTATAGTTCAACAGCAAGTAAGGGTTGTTAGAAGATAAAATTCAGCTTATGTTTTAGAACTGTGTGATTTGATTTCAACAACAAATAAGCTGATTTTTTTAATTTTTTTTTTTCAGTGCTGTGATTGGTGAAATTGATGAAGAGACAGATTCAGCTCTTGACTTGGGAAATATTCGAGCAGAACCTTTAAACTCAGTTGTGCACTGAAAAGATAAAAATGCACGGGGACTTTGTAAATCTTTGGTTGTACAGACCTATTTAGCAATGTGGACAGCTTTTAAAAATTGTGTTTAATTTGTTTAGTCACCAGTTTTTTACTATGAATATGTTGTAGTTTTGCATGTAAATTAAAGTTTCTACATTTTGCTAAAGATACTTTCATTGAATTTCTTTTGGGATTTCACACTGCATAATTTCACTGGTAAATGCAATCAGTATCAGTGATGGTCCTGATACTGTATATATATATACATCTTGTTCTCAAAATAAGATCTCATTCCTAAAGGTAAACTGATGTTTTTCATGTTAACCCAGGATTATTTGAAGGTAGATGTGTAAGTCAGTTTAACCATCTCTAAACGTAGTTGTGGCTCTAAGTAGAAAACTGTTCTTTGTAAATCTTTCTGTGTATGTGTGTAGTGTAGAAAGGAAGAATGTTAAAAGCTTTCGCAGTCAAATTAATGACTTAATACACATAATACTTAATGCACATAATACTTTTTTTTTTTATGGTGTCAGACTTTGTTGTTGCCCAAGACTACTGGAGGTGCAGGAGTTTGTAATGCCTTAATCCTTGCAGACAAATTGGAGAAACAGACTTTTGAGCAGGAACAAAAAACCCAAAGGCACTCGTTTGTTTGAAGCCCATTAAATTCCAGACCAACTTGTTCTCTATCTTCACCTTTTCAGCAGCTGTCGTGTTGCTCAAAATTAGGGTAAGATCTACAGAAACAGAATTGTTTGTTTGCTAATGTGTAACTGTTGTCTTAGAATATAGTTTAGAAGACACAGAAGTACTTTAGGTAGGTAAAGTATTTATTTTGAAAGAAATTTGCCTTAATATTGAATATAAGGATCCCATGTAACAATGATCACATAAAGACCTCTTACACATCAGCCACAGCTAAGCGAAGTGGGACAAGCTCTGCAGTATAGTGTGAGGCCGCATCACCATGAAATCAGTACTCTTGAACAAAGCTGTTTCTGTTACTCTCCAGTGTCCCAGAGGTCCAGTATTTTTCCCCTGTATATAGGTGCGCTGTCAAAGCAAACAAAAAAGGAATTTTAATGTGCATATTAGGGGGTTATGTACTGATTTTAATTTTAATATTAAGTGGGTATTTTTCATTGCAAGTTCACTATTTGGAAACCAAATATATTGAAGTGAAAACATTTGTTCTCCATAAAATGTGTCTCAATTCTTGTGAATTCTTCAAGCTTCCACCTTGTTTTCTAAGATTGTTCTTGGTGGAGCATGTGAAACCCAGCAAACCTTTTTTTATCTTTATCCATCTTGTGATCTAGTAATGTGTTGTGTTCTGTCCATATTTCTGGGAACTGCTTAGCAGACATTGAGTAAGTCAAATTAGGGTTTTCCTGTGATTACCAGAAGTTAGTACTAACTCTGGCTATAATTCATTATATGAAGAGAATCAGTTTCATTAAACAGTCAACAAAAAAGCCTTTTTGCTACTGAAATGTTGATACCTGCACAAGAGAAAGGACAATATAGGAACTGAATTGTACTGAAAAAGTGGATTATTAAATTAGGTATTTTAGAGCTTAGCAAAAAATGCAGAGGCAAAGAGTGGAGTCAGGATGAGCAGATTTTTAGTGCACTACTTATTGTTGGATGTATTAGGATAGTTATAGTTGAAACACATGGATTGAATACTTCTAGAAGCACTGGAAAAAATACGGAAATATGTTGTCTTATCATTGAGAAGTTAGGTTTGGAGATTAAACATGGAATGCTAATGCATATGGAGATCACCTACCTCAAACACATCATGTGCAATTCAACTCCTTGGTCCTGTCCTTGCTTGAGGATTTAAAATACAAGCTACTGGTGTGAGTTGAAACTGTTTTTTCTGAGCTTGAAGTGCTGATCTCAGATGCAAAGCTGTGGAACAATGACAGTGAAATTGGTCAGTAAAATCAAAGGACTGAGTAGATGAGAATTCCAGTTGTTGAAGCTGGAAAACCTGGATCTGGGATGTGATAGTTTCACTGAGTAAGGTGTTTAAAACACAGACTGCTAACCCTGTCTTTTTTTCCATCAAGTGGGTGACCTCAGTTGCATTTTCTTTTCTGAGCCTGTGTGTGTAGGGTGGTGGAGAGCTACAGCTTCAAGAAAATGTGTCTGACAGGCTGACCTAAACCTAGGGCATTCTCCAGGTGATGAGTAAGAAAGATAAATGCCCTTTTAGAAAAGGATCCTGATAAAAACTTGTGCAAAGCCCAAATGAGTTGATGATACGTGGTTGATTGTAAAATTGACTGTTCTGCAATGGGATAGGCAAAGGATGGCCAGCTCAGGTCTGCTTGGGGTTGTCTCCACCTCTGCCAAGATGGAGCCTGCTCAGAAGCAAAGCTCTGTCTAAAACCTTAAAATTGACACCGTGGAGGTTGCTTACCTTCATGCTTAGCAGCAATGTAAGGCTTTTCAGAGCTGTGATTTTTTTGGCTTATGCTAATGTTTTGTTTCAGTTTCTGCTCCAACATTTCTTTCAGTTTGGTCTCACTGGCTTTGGTCTGGATTTGACCAAAGCCTCTTCTGGATATAATGGTGGAAGTATCAAAGCCAGCAGACTAGTCAGAAGGGATTTCTTGAAATCAAGTCTAGGACTTCATAATTATTTTAAAAATTGTAAGATGAAATTAAAGCTTTGTAAACTTTCAGGGACTCTAAGCTACAGTGGCTAACTAGGTACCTGTAAATATATGGTGTAGAGAAATCACTCAGTAAAACAGTATTTAATGCATAAAGTTGAATTACAACCAGTCTGAAAGAGTATTTTCGTTGAATCAAACCTATAGCACAGTCTAGGCTGAAAAACAGATCATCAATGTGAGTAATGTATGTCATTGTTTTCATAAATGAATAAAGATAGGAAAATCTGTGTGATTGAAACCACAAAGTGGACATAGAGTGATGGCCTAGTATTAGTGATTCTGAAGAAAGCTAGAGTGTTAGTCTCCAGAGGATGAGTAGGGTGGAAGCTCAGCACATGTAAAGCCTGTGTATGTCTTCATGCCAAGGGAGCTCTGCAGTCAGTGTTGCAAGCGCATTGAAGATGGTAAAAAGGTACAACAGAGGAAGTAAAGTAGTGCTGAACTTTTGAGAGGAAAACTTTACATCTTCAGATGCTGAAGATGTGGGAAAGAGGACTGTATAGAATGAGAAAAGAACACAACAGATAATAGTTCTGTGTTGAGCAGGGGTATGTCAATCGCTATGTGCCGGCTGGCTGGGTTGAAGGTTCTCTCCTGTTTAACACTGATTGCAGAGATGTAGCAAAGCAAATTTCTCGTGGGAGATAAGCAGATAAGTAAGTCTGAAAAAAGTTTTTGCTTTATTCTTCCTGGAGAGAAAATAAGAGTAACTCTCTTTTTGGGGCTGAAGGTGCTCCCTATGAGTTCTGACTGCTGGTGCCTTATGATTGTCAGCTGGTTCCATGGGGGTAGATGAAGAGCCCTGCTGAGATCACAAATAACTTTTTCCTGAAACTGTCTTTCTGCAATGAGCCTAGATTAAAGATTCACTAATATAAATAACAGGTGATATTCAATAAAATCCAGTGAGTCCCTGCAGAGTAATAAATATACTATGCAAAAATGAGAAGGGCAGAGAAAGGTGATACTAAGGCCAAAAGGAAGTAATGCTGAATTGAAGGTAATTGTCATATGCCATTAAATTTCCTGCATTGTCATAGGTTGGTCACTTCCTCCTTTTGTTTGGTTAATAGAGATCTTGGAGTGAAAGGACACCTCTTGACTAGTAGTGGAAAATAATTCTTCCAGTGAAATGAATGACCTGGTTTATAAAGAGATTAAGTAAATTAATTTGGTGTGCATGAAAAGCACAGAAACTATCTTCTGTGGTCCAAGGGCAATTTCTCTAATTGCAATCCACATTAAGTACCTCCATATCCCTTTCACATACTTGCAGTCTTAAGTACTTCAAATATTGTGTGGCTTACAAGCAGGTTACTGGCTGTACTACATTGAAAGAACGTGGACTGTTTTGAGGATGTAATCCAACAGTGGACAATTTCTGTACAACTTGACCTTTGCTATCAACTATAGCCTGTTGTCCTTAGCCCTGGAGGTAGTGTTTATTCTTGAGTCCATTTTATAAGTAAACAGCTGAGATACACATCAAACACTCAGTGCTAGAACTGAAGATAAAGTGCAGGTTGATGGTGTTTATCTCATGATCATTGCCATGCTACTTTCATAGCAAATGTACCAGATCTCTGTGCCTGAGTAGGTGTTTTGTACCCATGGCAGCATAATTCCACCAATTAGCCTCTGCTGCATGCTGCTGCACTCTGCTAAGAATTTTATTCTGCACATTAATACAGAAATTATCCTTAAACACCAGGGTTGTCTCTCCATGCATTGGTATGAAAGGATTTAATTTATTCCATTTGTCATAGTTAACATGACAAATACAAGGTCATGTGCTGTTGCTCCTTTAGGAATTAGATTACAATTACAGTAGCCAGAAAAACTGTCTTATCAATTAGTTTTAGCTTCTCTGATGCTTAAATAATAAGGCATTTTTATTTAATAATAATAATTATAACTTCAAGTATCAGCTATTCATGGACAAGTAACTATGAAACACAGATGTGCCAGAAGTTCAAGATTCTTGAGGTGAGAGAGGGAAAACTTGTACCAGACCTAGGTTAAAAGTACAATGACAAAAGATAGTAAAGAACCAGGTATTTGTTCTGGAAATCCTGTTCCTGATAGCCTCTCTCAGCGTGCTGTATTTTGCCTTAGGGTCCTTTTCAGGTGCTTTTCTTTCTGTAATTTTTACAATAATGGCAGAAATGCTGAAATTTCTTACATCAGTAGCATTTTCCCTGAAGGAATTAAAAGCTCCACTGACGCAAGTGAAAATCAAAGCTGAAAACACAATAGTATTCAGACTTTTGCCAAAATCTGCTTGGTAGCCCTAAGAGCAGGACTTATATACTTGGTAATGTTCCTTCCTGAAGCCTTGCAACACGTTCCAGGAGCTCTGGAACTCACTTGGAACAATGTGCTGCTGCCGTTCAGCCTTACATCGGTAACTGTGCTGCTGGATGCCAAAAAATTTCACTGAGTGCTCAACTTCTTTCCTGCTACTTGCACTTTTAGATGAA